TGTGTGTGTGTGTGTGTGTGGCCAGCTCAGCCCACCTGGGGGCGGGGCTGCCTGGCATGTGGTGCTGGGGGATAGAACCGCGGTCCCTGTGCTTTGCCAAGCTTGTTCCAAGTAGGTGCTTTAGACCACTGAGCCATCTCTCCAGCCCCCTGGCCCTTATTATTATTAGTATTTTCCTTATTATTTTGAGATAGGGTCTTACTACATTGTTCAGACTGACTTTGAACTTTTGCTCTTCTGGTCTCAGTCTTCTGAGTAGCTGGGAGTAGGAGCCCATGTTACTCTTCCTGGCCAGCCCCCTTTGAGAGAGAAAGAGCAGGGGGCTGGCTTGTTTGCTCAGAGGTATTGTGTCTGCCTAGCACCCTCAGGCTCTGGGTCCTGGGTTCCACCCCAGGACCTGAACAAAATTTTACAAAGCCCAGTTTGTGTCAATTCTACCAGCAAGCAACAATATCTACCTAAAACCTAATACTTTCTTCTATATTATATTTATTTTCATGTTTTGCCTTCTTTTTTTTTTTTTTTTTTGCCTTCCTTTTAATGGCATGTGCTGATTTTCCATTTATGGAAGTGACACAGAAAGATTTCTTTTAAAATAAATTTATTAAGCAAATAAGAGTTCAACTTAAAGAAAACTATAAAGTAAGTAATACTAAAAGTGATAAACTGACATGTCAAAAATGCTAATATTCATGATTGAAGTTTGGGAAACCAGCCCCTGGGGAGTGGACTCTCCTCAGGTTTAGGATTAGGGATGAGGTTAAGGGTGGGGTAGAGTTAGGGGTAGGGAAGGGCGTCTGCTAGGAAGTAGGCCCACCAGCATTTGGGGCTCCGTGTCTATGGGGTAGATCATTATAAACAGCCCTGAGTTGGGGTAAATCTCTCTGGGCCACTGCAGCAAGCTGGGCAAAGGATGCCAGAGGCTGGGTGTTTGGAGCTGCCCTTCCTAGGGAAAAGCCTTTTGCACCCTGGCTCTCTTTGGATGAATGGTTCATGGCTGTCTCCTGGCTGCCCTCAGCGGGGTGCGCCGAGACCCAGGGCACTGCGGTGTGTGCAGCCGTGTGTGTCTGCGCAGAGCCCGCTGGTCTTCTTTGACTCTAAGTCCCAACCCCAGGCCCGTAGGGCCCCTCCAGCTGTGGTCAGTTCCTCCTTGCCATTTGAGGATGAAAGCCGCAGTCAGTGTAATAAAAGGCTCCTTCACTGGGTCTTGGCCTCTGTGTGTATTTTCTTGGATGACCTCAGGGTAGGGGACAGGGATGAATGTCAGGGAAAGGTTGAGATCTGTGGCTCTGGGAAGCTGGGTTCCTGCCATCTCCTGCCAACACACCTGTCACCTGTCACCATCGCTTCCATGCAGCAGCACCTCTTCTGGGCCTTGTGGCATCTGAGAGGCACTGTCAGAACGGGAGAGGGGCTGGTTTGGCGCTATTTCCTGTACGTCTGTTACTTCAGCTTCTTACTCTGAAACGCAGACTAGAAGCCTCTGGGCCCGCGCCGGCCTCACCTTCAGCTCTGAGCCAAGCGGGTGACGAGCGAGAGGCCCTGCTGGGCGTCCTCGGCATGCAGGCTCTGTCCACACTCAGCCTGCTGCCCGGGCAGGCCCAGGAGAACAGAAAAGTCGGACTGGAGAGGCATCTACCCCGAGACAGCCCTGGGGCCCCAGTGCCTTCCAGAGGGGGTTCTGGGGGGCCAGTCCCACTGGAGCTTTGGGGACTCAGAAGCCCATACTGGTCCGGCCTTCCCGCCTCCAGAACGCGGAGATCTGCTCCACGGTGACCCGAGGCTGCAGGCTCCAGTCAGGCTCAGGGCTTCCTGGCCGCGGCCTCCAGGCTTGGGGGCTCCCGAGCCTTTGCGTGGACTCTGGCCCCAGCTCAGGCCCAGCCCAACTCACTAGGCCTGTGGTGGGGGGCCTCTCCCCATGTGGCTGGGGCCCCCAGAAGGTGCTCCGGGCCAGGGCCTCAGGGGGCTCCTGGAGGACCAGAGAGTTGGGGGCAGAGTTCAGGGCCGCAGGGGCAGGTGGGGCGCTGGCCCGGGCTGGAGGGGCGTCTGGGCCCCTGTCGGGGAGCAGGGGCACCTCGCAGCCGTACCAGCCCTCAGAGCGCTCCCGGGCAGTGCCCGCCGGCTCGATCCACAGCTCTCCTCCGGGGCGCCAGACCAGGGCGGGTGCGCGGTGGCCGGGGTCAGGGCGCAGGGAGCGGCGGAGCAGGCGCTCGGCCAGCACCGCGGTGGTCAGGACGAAGAAGGCGGCGAGCGAGGCCAGGGCCAGCAGGATGGGGATGCAGGGCCCGCAGGGCGGCGGGGACCACCAGTCTGCCTCGCTCGCGGGGGCCCCCTCCAGGTGCCCCGGGAGCTGCCTGGGAGTCGAGGGCATCTGGGAGACACAGGGCGAGGAGAGGAAGCAGGTGAGGCAGAGTTGGCACAACCGAGAGCCAGAGGACCGAGGGCCTGGCGAGGGGCGCAGGCCTGTGCTCCCAGACTCGGCCTTGTCTCAAAATAAAAACCAGAGAAGCCTGGGGATGGCGCAGGGTTCAATCCCCAGCTGCGGGCGGGGAGAGAGAGCAAAGGGGACGCAAGAGGCCAGGCAGAGCCCCCCCCTGGCCTGCTGCCTGTGGCCTCGCCCGGCCCTTTAGGGGACAGCGTCTCCTTCCCCGACCTCGGGAAGCCTCGGAGAGGACACTGAGGTCTCTAAGGGCGCCTCCCTCCCATCAGGCGCTTCAGGTCCTGCCCTGGCTCAGAGAGGAAGTGGGGGTGGGGGCAGGGCTGCGAAAGCCCTCTCCCGACCCCACCCAACCCCACGAGGGCCTCTGTGGCCTCCCTTCCTGCCCCCCAGACTCCTCCGCTGCTTGCCAGGCCCCCGCAGGTGGCCTCGTCCTCTGCACACGCTGAGGATTTGCTGCGGCGCCCAGCCTCAGGCGCCAACTCTGCCCGGCCCCCGGCCTGTCCTGTGTCCGCTCTCCCTCCCTCGCTCCGGTCCTCAGGGGCCTCCTGCACCCCACCTCACCTTGGCTCTGCCGGCCTCCTGTCCCACCTGAGGGCCACCGTCCCTGTGCATGCTGCGAGGTGCCGGCGGGCGTCTGCGGGCACAGAGCGGCTGCTTCAGATGCGGCGGAAGGGAGGCTGCCACCTGTTGCAGGGCAGCTGCCCCGACTGCTCCTGCCCCACACAGCGTCTCCTAGGCGCCCCGGGGGATGTGGTCACTGCGGCGAGGAGGCGCTTCCTGCGTGAGGTGGGGCCGGAATGGGCAGAGCTCTGCTGAACGTGGCCTCACCCTAAAGACGTTTGCCCCGAGGACAAGGAAGAGGCCTCGGGGACCCTGGCCCTCCCATGCGAGACCTCCGTGGTGCGGCTTCTGCCTCCAGGGAGCTGCCAGTCCGCAGACCTGTCTTGTCGTCTGGGCCCCGCAGCCTCCTGCTTGGCCCGCCCGCCCGCCCTCTTCACAGTTAACATAGACCTCCTTGTCTTCAGACCGGTTAACCCCAGTTCTGGTTGGAAAAGATCTATGAGTGGGGCTTGGGTAGTAAAAATGGTGGCCTGTGGGGACAGTCCCAGGTATGAAACAGGCTCAGGCCTGTGTCCTTGCCCAGTTGGAGGATGACCCCGGGGGCAGAAGGCAATGGGGGCTGCTGGTGGCCGAGTCCAGGAATCTTCCAGAGGTTGTCTCGTGTGACCAACCTGCCGGCAGATGACGAAAGAACAGTCTAAAAATGGGAGGTGGCGTGCCCAAAGCCACACAATCCAAAAGTCTGTGTATATGTCTGTGTGTGTGTGAGTCTGTGTCTTGTGTGTATCTGTGTGCCTTGTGCGTGTCTGTGTGTCTTGTGTTTTTTTGTGTCTATGTATATGTCTGTGTGTATTTTTTGTGTGTCTGTGTGTGTGTCTGTGTGTGTGTGTGTCTGTGCCCATGGCGGGAGTGGCGTAACCAAGGGGGAGCACAGATGTAAATACCTCGGCTGGTAAACTCCCCGCACACAGCACAACCCTCAGTAAGTGTCTATGTTTTTGCAAAGTGACAGCCATTTAACGTGAACAATTACAAAAATAAATCAGTGCGCCAGATTGCTCAGCTGACTAAAGCGCCATCTTAAGCAGAGTGCAGCAGCCGGTTTGATCCCTGGCATGCCATGCTGGCCCAGCTCCTGGGGCATGCTGAGACCGAGATTGAGATTGGGCATGGTGGTGTATGCCTGTAATCCCAGCGCTTGGGAGGCTGAAAAACAGGAGAATCACTACGGGTCCGATCTAAGTAGTGAGACTCTGTACACCCTGTACTAAATACATACGAGAAAAAAAAAAAATCAACGCATTAGCATCTTACAAAACTGGTCACAAGAGCGCCTGACAGCCTGACAGCCTGACTGGCCTGGAGGGGAGGGGCCGGATGGAGTTGGGGGGAGTGGGCGGGGCGTGGGAGGAGTGGGGAACCCCAGTGCTCTGACACCTCGCGGGGGTGGGGCGGGGGGGAGGTGTTAGAATTTGATGAGATTAGAAACCTGAATTTAATAACACTGTACTGTAATGTACTCTTTTTTTTTTTTTTTTTGCAGACCTGGGGATTGAACTCAGGACCTTGCACTTGCCGGGGAAGCGCTTATTCCACTGAGCCATCTCCCCGGCCTCAAGTAATGTACTCTTCAAAATAGCTGTGAGGGTGTCTTCGTTACTTTTCTCTCATTGCTGGGACAAAATACCCGACACCCGGAGTTCAGGAAGGAGAAAGGTTTTGTTAGCTCCGCAGTGCGCTGGCTCCAGGGCGGCGGGGCGGGGCGCAGGGCAGCCTTCCAGGCAGCAGAAGACAGCGAAGGCACTGAGAGCACAAGGGGACAGCGAGGCTCTTTCCCTTCTTTCTACTGTAAACAGACCACCCGGCCCCCTACCTGCCCCTGCTCGGGTGAGGATATTACACATGAGGACCTTGGGCCCCTGCTGAGTCAAATTCTAAACTTTTCAGGTTCACACAATGTTTCAACCATTACAGATGGTAAGCGTTTTTTAAATTTTAATTAATCTTGCGGAACCGGCGATTGAACTCAGGCCCTTCTGCCTGCCAGGCAAGCACTTATTCTACTGAGCTAATTTAAAAAAAAAAAAATCTTTTATTTATTTCGTATAGTATCTGCCGCACAGCTCAAACTCACAGCGATCCTCCTGTCTCGGCCTCCCCAACGCTAGGCTCACAGGGTACACTGCAGATGCTGTTTAATGTTTTTGTAGGGGCTGGTGAGATGGCTCAGTGGTCTAAAGCACCTACTTAGAACAAGCTTAGCAAAGCACAGGGACCACGGTTCAATCCCCCAGCACCACACGCCAGCCAGCCCTGCCCCCTGGTGGGCTGAGCTGGCCACACACACACACACACACACACACACACACACATAAATAGAAAAAAATAGATTAAAAAATAATGTTTATGTATATTTTACTGTAAGCAAAAAATGTTATTTTTTAAAAACCCTAATAAGTAAATAAAACCTGAACATTAATTGTTCTCTTTTAATCTTATTTTCTTTTTTAAGGCAAACTTGGGGCCAGTGAGATAGCTCAGCAGACTAAAGCACCTGCTTAGGAAAGCACAGTTCGATTCCCCGCACCACATGCCACACCAGCCCCGCTCCCAGGGCGTGCTGAGCCAGCCAGAGTCTTGGCGTAGTGGGGTGCCTTGCAGTCCCAGCCCTGGGGAGGCTGAAAGCAGGAGGATCACCATGAGTCTGAGCTGCGCCGTAGTGAGACGCTGCAACAACCAAATAATTTTTTTTAAAGGCAAACTGTAGCCAGGCACGGTGGTGCAACCCTGTAATCCCAGTATTTGGGAGCCTGAGGCAGGAGGATTGCCCTGAGTTTGGGGCCAGTCTGGGCTACATCGTGAGCTCAAGGCCAGCTTGAGTAAGTTGCTGTTTGATGATTGTCTCTTGTTGAGGACCTGCCTCTCGGGGATGGCTGTAGTGAGAGCGGTTAACTCCACACCCAGCTGTGAGTTGCTGGGTTGAACTTCAAGTGCAGGCTGGACTGATCGGGACTCTTTCACTTGGGGGTTTTGGAACTGAGACTGAATGATTCTGGGTAGCTGAATCTGTTACATGGAAAAGTTGAAGCTGAGTGTGATGGTACATGCTTGTAATCGCAGCACTCTGGGAGGCTGAAGCAGGAAGGTCTCAGGTTTGAACCCAGCCTGGGCAATTTAGTAATTTAGCAAGATTTTATTTTTATTTATTTATTTTTTTTGTAAGATCTTGTCTGTTCTGGTTTATATCTAGATGCCCCTTCCAAGTCTCATGTGCTGATAGGTGAGGCTTTTTTTTTTTTTCTCTGTATTTTAAGGAAGGGTCTACAGGGTGTTCAGGATCTCACTAGATCGAACTGGTAGAGATTCTCCTGTTTACAGCCTCCCAATAATATTCATCCATCCCATTTTTTTTCTCTAGTGCTGAGGATTGAACTCAGGACCTTGTGCTTCCAGGCAAGCACTTATTCTACAGAGCTATCTCCCCGGCCCCTTAGGTGGGGCTTTTCGGGTGACTGGATCATGGGGGTGTGGATCATGAGTGGCTGAGTAATTTATAGCTAAGTGTGACGTCAGGAGTCTGAGGAGGTGGCTATTGGGGGCATGGCCTGGAAGGTTCTCTCAACCCTCCTCCCCCCTCCATCTCCCTTTTCCCTTCCTTCTGCCATGCTGCCTTCCTTAGAGCCAGGCAGCTGTGGACAAAAAGCTCTACAAACGGTGAGCCAAAATAAATCTCTCCTCTTTAGATGTGTGGATGTCAGTAATTGTGTTCCAGTGACAAAGTAATGGAGATGCTGTCTCAAAATTAGAAAAAATAAATATATAAAAAAGACTGGGACTGTAGCTCAGTGTAAAGGACATGGCTTCAGTTCCCAGTAGTACTAGAAAGCAAAATGTTGGGAGCCATCAGTGGCCCCTTCTGCCATTGCGTGTGTGTGTGTGTGTGTGTGTGTGTGTGTGTGTGTGTGTGAGAGAGAGAGAGAGAGAGAGAGAGAGAGAGAGAGAGAGAGAGAGAGTGGAACTCTGTCTGATGGGGTTCACATCTCCGGTCCCAGGTCCTTCCGTGTCCAGCTGTAGTCCTGCCTCCGGGTTCCTGTGTCCTCACAATTTTCCCTTGTGGCTGGCTTGTGTTTCTGTGACTTACAAACAAAAATGGCTAATTTATATAACCTTAGGCCTTTTCCAAGGTTCTAGAACACAAACCACTCAAACTGAATAGGTATGAAACAGCTTTCTTTGGGGAGTGGATACCAGGAATTGAACTCAGGACCTCAGCTTCCCAGGCAGGTGCTATGCCACTGAGCTAAATCCCTGGCCAAAAAAGTTTTATTATGGTTATATTTATTTATTTATTTATTTATTTTTTTGGCGGAGCTGGGGATTGAACTCAGGCCCTTGCAGCTTGCCAGGGAAGCGCTTATTTATTTATTTATTTATTTTTTTGGCGGAGCTGGGGATTGAACTCAGGCCCTTGCAGCTTGCCAGGGAAGCGCTTATTCCACTGAGCCATCTCCCCAGTCCCTATTATTATTATTATTCTTTGGCCAGCTCAGACCACCCTGGGGGGTGCACAGCATGTGGTGCCTGGGATTAAGCCACAGTCCCCTGCACCTGCCTGAGCTCGCCTAAGCAGGTGCTTTAGACCATTGAGCTATCTCGCCAGCCCCCTAAGTTTTATTATTATTGCAAAGCATATTTTTATTGTACTTTGCTATATTTGTTTAATATTTTGCAATAAAACATTTAAAAAATCTATCATCTACTCTCTCTGAGCTCATTTTTCCATTCTTTTGTGTGTACGTGTGTGTGTGTGTGTGTGTGTGTGTGTGTGTGTGTGTGTGTTAGGGAAGAGTCTACAGGGTGTTCAGGGTCTCACTACTAGATCGGACTCATAGTGATCCACCTGTTTACAGCCTCCCAAGAGTTAGGATTACAGGCGCACACCACCACACACAGTCTCAATTGCCATTTTAGCATACCTTGGGGGCAGGGCTGGCATGGCAGGCCTGCGGATTGAACCCTAGGCCCGTGTGCCTTTTTTTTTTTTTTTTTTTTTTTTTGCCATTCTTTGTATTTATCTGAATTAATAATGTCATGATCTACAAAATTTATTGAGTTAGAGATGCAGGACACGTTCTGGAATCTTTTT